GCCCAGCCTGGACTCTGCCCTCTCCCAGTGCCCCCCATCCCTGGAGGTCTAGGTGGGCCCTGCTTTTTGTGGTTACCTCCATCAGGATCTCCCTTCTCCCCTCAAGTCTCCATGCTGTGCTTGGAACTGCCCCCCCGCCCCCCCAAGAGTTCAGAGCAGCTGGGCAAGGAGTGGGAGTGCCTGTCCTATCAGCCACCTGCCTGCCACCTCCGGGACTGGGTTCAGCCTGAGCTCTCCTGGGCCAGCTGGGGCCTTGGGTGGCGTCTGGGTGGCGTCCAGGTGCGTGCCTGGGACGCTGTCAGTCTCTCAGGCTCCACTTTGCTTTGCACCTCGGTGCTCAGCCCAGTGTCCCCGGTTCCTGCCTGGCACGCTCAGCTGCAGAACAGCCTGCTTGTTGGCGGGCTGGCCTGTAGCCTCCACGCTGCCTGAGCCCCGGCCATTTTCCTTTGTTCTGCCCTGTCCGCACTCTTGAATCTCAGGCGGGCGGCAGGCTGGGCAGGCAGCAGGCAGTGGATGTACAGCACCAGCGGAAGCCCTTAGGACATGAATCTTCCCACTGAGCCAGAGGCAGGCAGTCCCTGGGCTGCACTCCGTTCTCCCAGCTGTCCCCCCATCTCCCCAGGGGTGCCGAGATCTCTCTTTGATTAGAGACAGTCCCCCCCCTCTTACTGGATCAGAATCGTGGCGACTTGTACAGTGGGGACCTGGAGAGGTCCCACCTGTTTGTGGCCACGGAGGGGGTGAGAGAGAGAACACACAGCCCCTTGGGAGTGCTAGCCTCCTGGTCTTTGACAGAAAAAGCTACTCCCAGGCACCAAGTGTGGTCTTCCTTTACCTCCCGGCCCTCCTGCATGAAGGCCGTGATGAAGTCCGTGGAGGATCTCTTGGCATTTAGTGGCAGGGGTGGTTGAGAAAGTTTCTTTTTACTTTGGTCTATGGTTGTGGGAATTTTTCTCCCAACTGAGGGGACCCATCCCCTGCCCCTGTGTCTCACCTCCCCCAGTCTTTGGTGGTCATAATGAGCTTCCTCCTGGGGGGCCCGATTTTACCCACGGGTGGGATTGCAGGCAGGGCTGAGGGCTACTCCCGGGTACCTTTTTCTGGAGTTGAGCCCGCCCCAAACCAGAAGTCTCTTGCTTTGCTTTCTAAACGCAGCCAGAATCTGTAATAGTCACCTGCCTTTGAAGTAGAGTTGTTTTGCCTGAGGACTAGTAACTTTCACTATTTTTATTGTGTTTAGCATTTTATGTTACCCTTCTAAAATCTATCCATCTTTGAGATCAGCCTGCCTCACTGAAGGGAGGAAAAATAATTTTTCCTCTGCCCTTCTGGGTTCTTGGCTGAGAGCTCCTGTAATAAAATAAAATAAAAGATGAACAGGAGAAAAACAAGTTTAGTAACAGGTACACCTCCTGCATACATGAGCGAGATCCAGGAGAACTTGAGGAACTCCCTGAAATGGCCCAAGCCATCACCTTAAATATGTTCTTCAGCTAAAGACACAAGAAAGATGACTGGGGCTGGGAGGGAAGACCAGGAGACGGGGTTAGGTTGTTATGCAGATTTAAGTTGGGCTCTGTTTCCACTGATAAGAGTTTATGATTTAGTGTCACCTTAGTCTTCCTGGTATTGAAAGAGGAGACACCCTTACAAGTGGAGACTTCCCTTGTCGGTGTAAATTTCCCTTCAGTAACTTCTCCTTGGTTTTCAGAGCTTCTCCCCTGCCTGCTGTCTTTAAAACAGTAACCAGGTCAAGATAATCCTTATGCCATAGAGGCAGATTTTGGGGTGGCAGATTCTGCTCCCCTCCTCATTAGCCAGGTCTCACAAATTAGGAAGCAAGTTCTAGCCCTGGATGGGGTTGTACTTTGGAGTGGCGTCATTTCAGCAAACGTCCAAGACGCAGCAAAAAGAGCTAAGTTTACTTTCAAGTGCACTGAAACACAGGTGCTGCTTTTACGGTAGGTAGTTGGACCCAGACAGGGTTGGGCAAAGTCATGACTGCGGCAGCATGGTGCTCTGGAGAAAGCAGATGGAGGTAGAAGGCTGGGGTTGAGTCCCGGCTCTGCCACTGGCTCTTTCTGGGTGACTGTGGCAATTCATTTCCATGGGCGCTGGTCTCTGGAAAATGGCAGTGTTGCAAAGATGAACTTCAGAAACATTTTAGCTGTGACTCTGAGCTCTTTGACTCTAACTCTAAAATGGTTGGTCACTACCTTGAAAGCCCCTTTTGCTAACTCAGGATTTTGGGGGGAAGAAATGTTATCAGATGGGATTAGCAGAAGGTATCTCTTCCTTAGGTTTTTGAGAGGTGGTGGTGATGGTCACCTCCACAGATGTTTTTCACATGGAAACTCACCCACCCCGAGGGCCTAACCTGTACTATCAGTTCTCAAGAGCTGGGTGTGGTACGAGTGAATAACTCTTCTCTTCGAAAGGCAGCATTCCCTCTGAATCATGGGGTCGGGGAGGAAACTCAGGCTCTGCATTTTGCCTTCCCTTAAAGTGAGGCCCGGCTGTTAAAAGTAAAAACAAAAACATGGACATAGAGACACCCTCTGTACCTAAATTTCCCCTCTCCTCTTCCTGCGGGGGCGGGGTGGGGGGCTGGGTTTAAATTTTGTCTCCATGTTGGGTTGTAGATTCCAGAAGGCAAAACCATCCTTTTGCTGGTGCCCCTTTAGGGTTGGTTTCTGGCCCTTTATCTGCCCTTCCGCACCCAGCCGCCATCCCCTGGGCCTCCCGAGCCTGCCGGCCCAGTGGCTTTCCTCCCATTGTCTGCCTCACCGGGCTCGGCCTCTGTGTCACTGCTCTGGGCTGTGTGTTTCTGTCAGACCTCACAGCAGGCCTTCTTGGAAGACGCCCAAGAGGCAGGGAGTCCCACTTCTCCAGTCACTGGGTTCGAGTAGCTTCCACAGCTGTGAAATGGGAACAAAAATAACCTGTAAGGATCCAGTGGGATGCACGGAAATACCGAACAAAGTCCAAAACTACAGCACAGCTCCAGGAAAGTGGATTACATCCCGGGTCAGTCTGCTCACAATCAAGGTGGGTGGTGGCCTTTCCTCCCAGGACTTGCCCTAATGGTGGTGGCTTTTCTGTTAGGCATCTCAGGTCCGCTCCGCTCACAGGCCTGTCTTAGGGCAGCATTGGCAACACCGGGCAGAGCTTGTTGAGCTGCAGCATTGACATTTACACAAAATTCCCAGGTGATTTGCATACACTTTCAAGTTTGAGAAGCCCCGGCGCCGACACCTTTGTTCCGCCCACCTGTTGCCCTAGCACCTTCCTTAGTCTGTTTTGCGGTTTTGCAGACCTCGCCCTCTTGCCCTCCTGAAAGTTGTCGACTTCCAACAGGTCTGGAGCTCTGGCAGCCCCTGTCCCCTCGGGTGTGCAGTTTCCAGCAGCTCTCCCTGGGTGCTGGGGGCGTCTGGGAGGTGGGGCTGGGGACCGAGAAAGGCCCCCTCGGCCGGCGGCCGCGGGCACCTCCCCCAAGCCTGCTGGCGAGGTCATCTTTGGGGTGCGGAGCCCCCGGGGGTAATGGGAGTCCTCCTTTGTGAAAGGGCTGCAGGGAGCCTCCCTCGGCCATCTGGTACCACTCGCCCCGCCCCATCTGTCCCAGCTGGACGACAGGATCAGAATCAGGTTGTAAATGTTGTTTTCTCCTAGAAACACAAACCATTCTATAGAAAGATGGTGTATGGTATGTTGAAGTTCAAATAAATCGTTCAGGAAGGGGACTGTACATTTATTTTTGGAGCAGAAAAAAGTTTGATACGGCTCCCCTGGTATCAGTAGGATCGCCTGCCCACCTCCTGCCTTCTGATGGGGGTTTGTGGGCCTGAGTCTGCCAGGCTGGCGGAGACCTGGCTCCCTGCACAGCTGCGGGGGGGCGGGGGGCTGGCCTGCTGGGATTCTCTTTAGGGGCTGAGCTGCTAATCCCCTGACAGACCCCTCAGCCTTTTTCAGCAGTGTCCCACCATTGATTTGCATTTAAAAAAAAAAAACTACTCCCCCCCATTCCTTTTATCTTTATGTTTTCAGTGCACAAAGTTCTATTTATTTTTTTCGAGCAGGCTTCATTTTTCTTAGCTTGTTTAGGAAGTTTGTTTTGTTTTCTTTGCTCTTTGACCCCCCCTCCGCCGCACCGGGCTGTTTGCATTGCTGGGGAGAGGCCAGAAGCCAGGCTCTGCCCTGGCCTTGGAGAGCTCCCGCTCCGGAGCAGGATTCCGGGGTGCTCCCAGTGCTGTTCTTGGAGTGAAGTGGGTTGGTTGTCTTAAAACACAGGATGTTGTAGCAGACTGTGCAGTGTTGGGTACAGGGATTTTTAACATTTTACAACCATAATCTTTATGCGTTTCAGGCATGGAAAATTGGAGGAAAAGGAGTCAATGTATGTAATTGTCAGTTCTCTTACGTGGTGTGTGTGTGTGTGTGTGTGTGTGTGTGTGTGTGTGTGT